ATATGAAAATTAGCGAGTACGGTGGTGCATGCCTACAATCCCAGCTACTTGGGAGGCTGAGGCAGGAGACTCGCTTGCACCCGGGAGGCAGAGGTTATAGTGAGACAAGATCACACCAATGCAGTCCAGCCTGGGTGATAGAGCAAGGCTCTGTCTCAAAAAATACAAATAAAAATAAACAGATGCTGGCCCAATATGGTGGCTCATGCCTGTACTCCCAGCACTTTGGGAGGACAATGCAGGAGGATTGTTTGAGGCTAGGAGTTCAAGACCAGCCTGGGCAACATAATGACACCCCTTCTCTACAAAAATAGTAAAAAATTAGCCAGGCATGGTGGCATGTACATGTAGCCCCAGCTACTCAGGAGGCTGAGGCAGGAGAATCACTTAAGCCCAGGAATTCATGGCCGTAGTGAGCTATGATTGCACCACTGCACTCCAGCCTGGGTGACAGAGTGAGACCCTCTCAATTAAATAAATAAATAAATAAACAGATACCTTTTTTATAGAAGAATGGCATTTTATTGTACATATATACCACATTTTCTCTGTCCACTCTTCTGTTGATGGACATTTGGCTTATTAGCTCTTGCGAATAGTGCTGCAATAAGCGGCAACATGGAAGAGCCTGGAAGGCCTCATGTTAAACAAAGTAAATCAGGCAAAGAGAGAACTACTGCGTGTTCTCCCCTATATGAAAACGGAAAAAAATTTTGAACTCATGGAAGTAGAAAATAGAATTATGGGTATTAGAGGCCAAGAAGAGGAGAGAAGGGGAGGACGGGAGAGTTTAGTTAATTACTACAAAATTATAGCTACACAGGAGGAATGAGTTCTGTTGTTTTACAGCACTGTAGGCTGAATATGGTTAGCTATAATTTATCGTGTATTTCCAAAATGCTAACAGAGAGGATTTTGAATGTTCACAACACAAAGAAAGGAAAATGTTTGAGGCGATAGATGTATTTACTCCAATTTGATCATTATACATTATGTGGTCATATGGAAATATCACTTTTTATCCCATAAATATGTACAATTATCACATGTCAACTAAAAAAAGGAAAAAGAAAATACCTCACAACAGCATATGAAAAGGTACTCAATATTAATTGTCATTGCGGAAACAATAATGAGATACCACTACACCCCTATTAAAGTGACCAAAATCCAAAGAACTGATAATAGCAATTACTGACAAAGATACAGAACAAGAGGAACTCTCATTCAGAGCTGGTGGAAATTCAAAATAGCACAGCCACTTTGGAAGACAGTTTAGCAGTTTCCTACAAAGCTAAACATAATCTTGCCATATGAGCCAGTAATCATGCTCCTACATATTTACCTAACTAATTTGAAAACTTACGCCCACACAAAAACCTGCACAGGAATGATTATAGCAACTTTATTCATAATCACCAAAAACTGGAAGCATATAAGATTCCTTCAATAAAGCAAATGAATAAATACATTGTAGTAGCACATTGATACAATGGACTATTGTTCAGAGATAAAAATAAATAAGCTCTCAAGCCACAAAAAGACATGAGTGAATCTCAAAGGTATATTGCTTAGTGAAAGAAGTCAGTCTGGAAAAGCGACATACTATACGATTCCAATTATATGATATTCTGGAAAAGGCAAAACTGTGAAAATGGTAAAAAATATTTGTTGCCTAAGGCTTTGGTGGAAAGAAAGGAAAGTGGAGCATGAGATTTTTTAGGATGGTAAAATTCTGTATACTATAATGGTGAACACATGACGTTATATATTTGTGAAAGCCCATGGAACTTGATAACACAAAGAATGAGCCTTAATATGTACAAATTTAGAAAAAAACTCATTTTGGAGTTCTGATAATCCCAGGATTAAATGCAGAATGTGAAAGAACAATAGTCAAACCATGTTGCAAGTATGTGACACAAACTCACTGAAGAGGATTGGGGAAAAGGAGCCAACATAAAAAGAAAGTAGTTTGCAACAATCTTGCATGTTCTTCACAGGCACCCCCAAACCTAAAATGCAATAAAAAAATAATAAATAATAAAAATAAATAAAAATTTTAAAGAGCCAAACAGAAAAAAAAAAGTAGTTTGGGGGTAAAGTTAACCATACCAATACCACAATACACATATACTAGAACTGAATAATGAAGAAAATGGATGACAAGTGGTAAAACCAGTTTTCTCACTATTGGAGGGCAGAGCTAAGCAAGGGAAAAAGACTAGAGTAATCGTGTAGTGATGGAGTTGGCAACATAAATTGAACTTATGGTTAGCTTAATATAGGTGATTGGATATAGAAATTTTATAGGAATGTTTGTCTATAAGGGTTGGTCTATAAACATTCATTTATTTTCTGTGTCAGCTGGGAGGGATTACAGGCAGTGATGCTCCAGTAGCAATGAATATACCTGGCTCCCAGATCTTGGTTTCCAATACTATTCTCCAATAAAAGGAACAAGGATTTCTTGGGAAAATTGCTGATTCTAGGACTGGGACAGGAAATGTACAATATGAGCCTGGAGAATCCTGTAGTGCTACAAATGAAGTGCTAAAATAATCATGGGGTTATGTCAGAGGGACACAAAAGCCAACTAAAAGGGTTCACAGTGGCCAAAGCTGGAGCAACAAAACAAAGAAGGTGGTATTGGGCCAGGGGTGGTGGCTCACGCCTGTAATCCTAATGCTTTGGGAAGCCGAGGTGGGCAGATCACGTGGTCAGGAGTTCGAGATCAGCCTGGCCAATATGGTGAAACCTTGTCTCTACCAAAAATACAAAAATTAGCCAGGTGTGGTGGCATGTACCTGTAATCCCAGCTACTCAGAAGGCTGAGGCAGAAGAATTGCTTGAACCCAGGAGGAGGAGGTTGCAGTGAGCTGAGACGGCACCATTGCACTCCAGCCTGGGTGACAGAGTGAGACTCCATTTTAAAAAACAAAAAAGAAAGTGGTATTAGATTATAATCCAAAGTGTGTAATAAATATCCATGGGTCCATACTGATATAAATAAATGACTAAATAAATACGTAAATGAGGGAGAATAGACAAATCTCCCATTCAGAAGAAATCCACATAATGTATATAGGTAGTCTACCCTCAAGAAACTAGAGCATAACTCCTTACTCCTTCACTGCAGGCTGCACGTAATGACTTTCTCCCAAAGAGTACAGTATGGAAAGGGAGAAAAAAAGAGTAACTTCACAGTGGAGAAATATGGTAAACATTACCTTATGTAGGTGATCAAGTTTACCATCAAAAATGATAAATCATGGTGAGAGTATGTTCCTAGATATCATGTGATGAAAATAGCACTTTACCCATGTGATTTTCCTTCTAAGAACTTATAACCCCAGTATAATCATGAGAAAAACAGCAGGAAAATCCTAGTTGAGTGACATTCCATAAAATACCCGATCAGAACTCCCTGAAACTCTTAAGGCCATCAAAAATAAGGAAAGTGTGAAAAACTGTCACAGCCAAGAGTAGCTTAAGGAGACTTGGTTACTAAATGTAATATAGTACCCTGGAGGAAATTCTGAAAGAGAAAAAGAACATTAGGTTAAAAACTAAGGCGATCTGAATAAAGTATGGACTTCAGTTAATAATAACATATTAATATTGGTTCATTAATGGTAACAAATGTAACATACTAATGTTAGATGCTAATAATAGGGGAAATTGGATTGGGATATATGACAGTTCCCCATACCATCTTGGTAATTTTTCTGTGAGTCTAAAACTCTTATAAAACAAGTTAATTTTTTGATGAACAATATATTTGAATAGATGTTTCACCAAAGACAATACATGAATGCTTAATAAGTCCATGAAAAGATGTTCAACTTCATTAGTCATTAGGGAAATGCAAATTAAAACCACAATGACATAATGCTAAATACCCACTTGAATGGCTATAATCGAAAAAATAGTTAATAACATGCATTAAAAAGATTGTGTATAAACTGAACTTTCATACCTGGCTTGTGGGAATGTAAAATAGTACAAATACTTTGGAAAATGATTTGGCTATTTCTTATAAAGTTTAACATAGATTTGCCACATAATTGAGCAATTCAATTTCTCTATCTCTACACAAGGGAAAATCAAACAAATGTCCACTCAAAGACTTGTATGCAAATATTCATAGCAGCATTATTCATAATAACCAAGAAGTAGAAACAATCCAAATGTTCATCAATAGATAAATAATATGTTCATACAATAGAATACCATTCAGCAATAAAAAGGAACAAACTACTGATACACATACAACATGAAAGAACTTATTACACTGAGTAAAATAAACCAGACGCATTAGACTTCCTGGTGTATAATTTCACTTATATGAAATGCCAGAAATAGGCAAAATCAATAGAGATGAAAACATATTAGTGATTGACTGGGTCTGAGGGTTGGATGGGGATTGACTTCCTGTGGCCTTGAAATATCTTTTTGGGGTAAAGGAGATTGTTCCGAAACTGGATTGTGGTAAGGGTTGCATAAGTCTGTAAATGTACTCGAAAGCATTGAATTACACACTTAAAACAGGTATAAACTGTAAATTACACCTAAATAAAGCTGCCTTTAAAACAATAATTACTTTGCCATTATTCCCCAAGAACATTTATTAAGTACCTGTTGCTCAAAATAAAAACGAAAAGATCTATCTAGTTACTTATAAATGAAGAAGCAAATATTGACAATGACATAAAGGTGGTTTATAAGCCTATCTGTGCTATCTTTCAAGATTAGGTTATCTTTCCAGTGAAATTTTCTCATATATTTTAAGAAGCTATGAAAATATTGAATAGATAAGTGCCTTATAAAAATTTTGATAAAGTATTTAAATTATGTATAATATGCCTCCAAAAAAGATTAAAAATGGCTTGAGGTATTTTTACTGTCAAAATTTCTAGCACAAATGATAAACAAAAAATTATGCATTGAAAGATTCCCAGAAAATACATGTCATATGTTAAATTTCTTTTCTCCCAAAGATCGGAATAGATGGATGTGGGAAAAAAACATGTGCAACCTTGGCCTGTTATTTGACAGATAACAAACTATACCGAGTGCCTGTATCTCACAACTGTGCCTACGTCGAATTCAAAGAAGTCTTTAAAAAGGTGTTTATTCATGCAGGATTAAAAGGGAACCCCACTGTTCTGATGGTTCCCAATTTAAACATAGAACAAGTAAGTACTTCTTGTCTTTGTTATTTGCTAAAGTTCAATATCTATGTGGATACCGCTCCCTAGAAATTTAATATTTGAAAAGAAAACAAGAAAATATTTATCAATGGTTCTGTTAGCCTACAATAACAGTTTTTTGCAGCATTCTATGTTCTTATCCAGTCATAGCCCACAGTTTATATATTTGTAATGATGCCATAGATAGTTCTGAAAAAACATTTCAATGAAAGTATTTTCTGTGTCATTGTCATTTTCATTTTAATTGACAGATTGGAAGTAATTTGTATATGTAGCTGAAATCATCTGTCTTATATCAGAACTACCTTTATAATCTGTATTTTTAACACCCTTCCAACTATATCCAGTATCTGTAATCTACAGTTAGTTATGTAATCTAAAATGCGCTCTTACAGCATCCAGGCTTCTGTTTCTGTCACTCTTCTTCTGCTCTAATTTCACTGTCAGATGTAGGACTTTCCCTACAGAATATGTTATTTTTGTCATGTATATATTTTTGCATATATTTCCTCCAAGTCTATGGCTTGGCTATTTATTTTCAAGTTAAATTACATTTTTAAATTGACATATGATAATTGTACTTGTATTTATGGGGTATGTGATGTTTCAATCCATATAAGAGCAGATTTGGGTAATTCGCATATTCATTATCTTTATCATTTTGTGTTAGGAGCATTCAATTATCCTCCTTCTAGCCATTTGACACTATGTAATATATTACTGTTATGTATAGTTATCCTACAATGCTGTAGGACAGTAGAACTTATTCCTCCTATCTAGCTGTAATTTTGTATCCCTTAACAAATCTCTCCTTATACTTATCTTCTTTCCCCTACCTTTCCCAGCTTGTAGTATCCTCTGTTCCACTTTTTACTTCTGTGAGATCCACTTCCTTTTAACTTTTATATATGAGTGAGAGGATGTGGCATTTAATTTTCTGTTCCTGGCTTACTACACTTAACATAATCATGTTGCCACAGTGGCAGGATTTCATTCTCTTTCATGGGTGAACTGTATTCTGTGATGTATATAGACCATATTTTCTTGAGTCATTTATTCACTGGTGGACACTTAGGTAGATTCTGTATCTTGGCTATTGTGAAAAGAGCTGTTATAAACATGAGGGTGCAGATGTTACTTGAATATACTGATTTCCTTTTCTTTGGATAAATGCCCAGAAGTGGGATTGCTGGATCTTATAATCATTTTATTTGTAGTTTTTGTTTTGTTTTGAGACAGGGTCTTGCTCTGTCACCCAGGCTGAAGTACAGTGGTGCGATCATGGCTCAATGACGCCCTGACTTCCGAGGCTCAAGTGATTCTCCCACCTCAGCCTCTCAAGTAGCTGACACTATAAGACTACACCACCACACCCAGCTGATGTTTTAATTTTTTTACAGAGGTGAGGTCTCACTGTGTTGCCCAGGCTTATGTGTAGTTTTTTAAGGAACCTCCATACTATTTGCCATAGTGACTGTACTAGATTGCATTCCCACCAACAGTATACAAGAGTTCCCTTTTCTCCAAATCTTCACTAGTGTTTGCTATTTTTTTTTTTTTTTTTTGGTCTATTTGTTGATAGCCAACCTGACTGGAGAGAGATGATAGCTCATTGTGGTTTTGATTTGCATTTTCCTGATAATTAGTGATATTGAGCATTTATTCATTTTTTGGCCATTTGTATGTCTTATTCTAAGAAATGTCTGTTCAGATCATTGGCCCATTTTTTAAATCAGGTTTGATTTTGTTTTTTTGTTCTTTATTTTTTGTTTTTGCTGTTAAGATGTTTGAGTTACTTGTATATTCTAGATATTCCCTATTGAATGAATTATTTGCATATATTTTCTCCCATTCTATAGTTTGTCTTTTCATTCTGTTGTTTTCATTTCTACTCTTTTCATTCATGTTTTTCCTTTGCTGTGCAGAAGAAAATTTACCATGCTTTTTAATTTGATATAATTCCACATGTTTATTTTTGCTTTTGTTGCCTGTGCTTTTGAAGTCTTATTTACAAATTCTCTTCCAAGACAAATGTTCTGAAGTATTTCGCTTATGTTTTCTTCTGGTAGTTTTATAGTGTCAGGTCTTACATTTAGCTCTTTAATTCATTTTGAGTTGATTATTGTATAGGGTGAGAGATGGAGGTCTACTTTCATCCTTTGTATATGGATATTCAACTTTCTTAGCACCATTTATCAAACACTGAATTTTTTTCCATTGTGTGTTCTCAGAGCATTTGTCAAAAATGAGTTGGCCGTAGATACATGGGTTAATTTATGGGTTCTCTATTCCATTGCTCTATGCATCTGTTTTTGTTCCCATACATGCTGTTTTGGCTACTATAGCTTTATAATGTATTTTGAAATCTGGTAGTGTGATGCCTCCAATTTTGTTCTTTTTGCTCAGAGTTGCTTTGGATTTTTGAGATATTTTGTGGTTCCATTTGAATTTTAGGAATTTTTTCTATTTCTGTGAAGAATACCGTTGGTATTTTTCAGAGATTGCAAGAAATTGATAGATTGCTTTGGGTAGTATGGTCATCTTAACAATACTCGTTTTTTTGATTCATGAACATGGATGTCTTTCCATTTCTTTCTACCCTTTTCAACTTCTTCTATCAGTGTTTTATGGTTTTCCTTGCAGAGTTCTTTCACCTTCTTGGTTCAAATTTATTCCCAAGTATTTTATTTCATTTTATTTATTGTGTTATTCTAAATGGGATTGCCTTTTTAATTTCTTTTTTGGCCTAGTTTGCTGTTCATATATAGAAACATTACTGATTTTTGTATCCTGCACCTTTGCTGCATTCACTTATCAGTTCTAAGAGTTTTTTGTCAACCTCATAAAAAAGTGGGCAAAGGACATGAACAGACACTTTTCAAAAGAAGACATACATGTATCCAACAATTATATTTTTAAAAGCTCAACATCACTGATTGTTAGAGAAATACAAATCAAAACTATAATGAGATATCATCTAACACCAGTCAAAATGGCTACTATTCAAAATTCAAAAAATAACAAATGCTAATGAGGTTGTGGAGAAAAAAGAATGCTTATACACTGTTGGTGGGTGTGTAAATTGCTTCAGCCATTGTGGAAGACAGTGTGCCAGTTCCTCAAAGACCTAAAGACAGAAATGCCATTCAACCCAGAAATCCCATTACTGTGTATATACGAAAAGGAATATAAATCATTCTATTATAAAGAAACATGCATGTGTATGTTCACTGCAGCACTATTCACAATAGCAAAGACATGGAATCAACCTAAATGTTCGTCAATGACAGGCTGCATAAAGGACACATGGTACATATACACCATGGAATACTATGCAGTCATAAGAAAAAAAGACAAGACCATATCCTTTGCTGGGACATGGATGGAGCTGGAGGCCATTATCCTTAGCAAACTAATACAGAAACAGAAAACCAAATACTGCATGTTCTCACTTATAAGTGGGAGTTAAATGATAAGAAGAACAAATGGACACCTAGAGAGGAACCATACACAATGGGGCCTTTCAGAGTGTGAAGAATTTATGCAGTGTATTATGTTTATTGATTTGCATATGTTGAACCATCCTTGCATTCCTGACATAAATCTCAGTTGATAATGGTGTATTATCTTTTTGATGTGTTGTTGGATTCAGCTTGCTAACATTTTGTTGAGGACTTTTGTATCTAGGTTCATCAGGAATATTGGCTTGTCATTTCCCTTCTTTATCATGTCCTTGTCTGGTTTTGGTATCAGGGTTATGCTGACCTCATAGAATGAGTAAGGGATAATTTTATTTTTAATATTTTTGGAATAGGTTGAGAATAATTAATATTAATAGATCTTTAATAGTTTGATAGAGACCAGGAGCAGTGTCTCACACCTGTAATCCCAGCACTTTGGGAGGCCAAGGCAGGCAGATCACATGAGGTCAAAAGTTCAAGACCAGCCTGGCCAACATGGCAAAACCTAATCTCTACTAAAAGTACAAAAAAAAAAAAAAAAAATTAGCTGGGTGTGTTGGCAGGTACCTGTAATCCCAGCTACTTAGGATACTGAGACAGGAGAATCACTTGAACCCAGGAGGCAGAGGTTACCATGGTGCCACTGCACTCCAGCCTGGGCCACAAAGCAAGACTCCATCAAAAAAAAAAAAATAGGGACTTCCAGCAAGATGGCTGAATTGGAACAGCTCCTGTCTGCAGCTCCCAGTGAGAGATCAATGCAGGAGGTGAGTGATTTCTGCATTTCCAACTGAGGTACCTGGTTCATCTCATTGGGACTGGTTGGAGAGTGGATGCACCTCACAGAGGGCGAGCTGAAGCAGGGTGTGATGACACCTCATACGGGAAGCACAAGGGGTGAGGGAACTCCCTCTCCTAGCTAAGGGAAGCCATTAGGGACTGTACCATGCACTCCAGCCCAGGTACTGTGCTTTTACCACAGTCTTTGCAATCCACAGGCCAGAAGATTCCCTCTGGTACCTACACCACCAGGCCCCTGGGTTTCAAGCACAAAACTGGGTGGCTGTATGGGCAGATACTGAGCTAGCCACAGTTTTGTCTTTTTTTTATATAGCCCACGGGCTCCTGGAATGCCAGTGAGACAGAATTGTTCACTCCACTGGAAAGGGGGCTGAAGCCAGGGAGGGAAGTGGTCTGGTTTGGTGGGTTCCACCACCATAGAGCCTAGAGAGCTCAGATCCACTGGCTTCAAATTCTTGCTGCCAGCAAAGCAGTCTGAGCTTGATCTGGGATGTTCGAGCATGGTGGGGGGAGGGGTGTCCACCATTGCTGAAGCTTGAGTAGGTGGTTTTCTCCACACGGTATAAACAAAGCCACTGGAAAGTTCAAACTGGGCAGAGCCCACTGCAGCTCAGCAAGTCCTCTGCAGCCCAACTGCATCTCCTCTCTGGGTAGGGCAGCTCTGAAAAAAATGGCAGCAGCCCTAGTCAGGGACTTATAGATAAAACCCCCATCTCCTTGGGA